TTCATGGGTCAAGCCCGGCCCAACCCACGCCTACCATAGTTCCCTTGGTTCGCTTTTTTGGACTTCCTTTAAGAAGCTCATCTAAAATCTACTGATTAGTTATAGCACGACATTTGTGGACTCAAACTACGCACCACTATACTATAAAGAGTGGAATATATATTTTAAAACTCTCAACTAGAACTATATTCTAAAATCACAGAAAATAGTTGCCGTCCTTTTTTCCCTCATGTTTAAGGACTACGCAATACTTTTTCTTTGAAAATTTATTTAATACTTCGTTGGAAGAATTTCACTTTTAGTTAGATGTTCTAGTTTCTACGACTGCGTTTTGTTAAATGAATATTGTTCTTTATTGTATCATAACATATGTAGGGTAGTATGTTATCTTCCAGGCCAGGCCATGGCCAATATAAACTTTTTTTCCCAAAAAATGTATTCATATTGTATTAGTTGATTTGAGAGTAAAAAAAAATATCATTTTGGTTATATATTGGTCTAGATGGTCATATTCCCCCTAAAAAAAACAAATGTTACTTTTGACTATTTTAGGTTAGTCCGAATGTTAATTCATGTGAAAACAAATATTGGACTAGACTAAACAAATGTTACTTTTGACTATTTTAGGTTAGTCCGAATGTTAATTCATGTGAAAACAAATATTGGACTAACAAATTCGAAAGAATAATCTTTTTATAAGACTTTTTCTACACAACAAAACAAAAATTACAACTCTTGAGAAACAAACACGAAAATCGTCTATCAATTCTCGTTTTCGTGGGACTTTGCCTGTGCCGGGAACGCTTTGGTTCGTGGACCGCCGATTCACAGATCGTGAAGAGGGGGCTTATGATTCTAACTTCGTTATCGAAGTAGAAATTGAAACGATATCTTATCGAAGTAAGATAGTCGTTCTTCTTAAAATCAAGTCGAAGCTTAATTTCAAGGCGTTGCAAGAAAAGAACTCAAATCTCTGCTCTCTCTGCTCTGGAATGCTCTAACAAATGCTCGATCCTCGTCAGAAGTGACCCTAGGGGGGTATTTATAGCCTCAAGGGTCAGTAACTGCAAAAACTTAACAATCGAAGAAGTCAGTACGGCGAGACAGTGTTTACTGTCTCGCTGGGCGAGACAGCGTTTGCTGTCTCGACCCGCGAGACAGTAAATTTGCTGTCTCGCTCAGCGAGACAGTAAATGCTGTCTCGGAAAATGGCAGTTTCTCGCTGTAACTGTTCTCTCACGTTTCAAACTCCGTTATTTTGGCAGTTATCCACGTGATTTTCGCCCATGATGTTTCCCACGTCCCTTGGCAGTTAATGGACACGTGTAGGGCAGTTACAAATGTAGTTTTGACTATTTCAACACTGTCTCGCTGGCGAGACAGCAAAGACTGTCTCGCTGGCGAGACAGTTCATACTTGTTTTGATTTTTCCAAAACAGTATGAAATCCTTTCTTGTGAATTTTTGAGTGATCTTCTCTATGCTTGGGATATCTATTAGCATTTTTTGACGCCTACAGATACCCCCTCCAAAGTATTCCAGACTCATTCTTTTATAGAGGAGCATGGGATACTTTGGATAAGATAGATTTTACTTACGATCCCTTCAATGCTTGGCTGAATAGATCGTATGAAAGGACTTGTAAATGGCTTCAATGTTTAACCTCTTCTGCTGTTAGTCTATCCAGTTCTTCGTAGAATAGCTAACGTTCTCCCGGCGTCGCGTTTATCGCTTGACCGTTGTCGAGATCTTGAATTGAAGTTGATACTTGCTCTTGTGAATTCAGCGTTTACCATTGAATTGGTATATCCATTGAGAATTCCTCAGGTTATCCTTAAGAATATTCAGATTAATATTCTCCAGAAACTTCCTGTTGAGGGTGGGAATACAGTTTAGACTCGTGTACCCATTGGAGTATTCCACTGTTCCATAGTGCAAAACAGAAAAGTTTACTGTCTCGCTCGGCGAGACAGAGTTTTCTGTCTCGCTCAGCGAGGCAGAGGCTATAAAAGTCGGGACTTAGGGTTTTAGGGTTTTTTCACGTCGACTTTTTTGCGATTTTCAGGCGATTCTTGGGCGATTTTCGAGCGATTTTCGACCAGTTCTTCACCTCTTCTTCTTCTCTTCGTTTCTGACTTTGGTGGTGCTTCGATTTGAAGAGATTTCATTTGGATTTGAAAGGTCTGTTTCCCCTCTTTTCTTCAAAATCTTGACTTTTGGCAACCTGTGACTGTGCATGCAGCATTTCAGTTGTATTTGTCCTATTTTTTTGTCGATTTCATGTTCAAAATCTTAACCTTCCTCTTGGATTTCAATGTAGATCACATACTCATCATGTCGCCACGTAGAGCTCGAGGGAAGGGAATCCGACCGACTGTTCAGAGCCCTGAGGAGGCTGCCCCTGCTGCGATCTCACGTGGAGGTATATTTCTTTCACCTTTTCACGAATTTAAATATTGTATTTCGTCCATTCCATATATATATGCACCTGTATTTGCTTGCAGATCCTCGTTTGTATCCTTTGAGGTACCTTCGAGAAGAGCCGGTATCCTCCTTTGAGGGGATCGACGCTTAAAAGTGTTTGTTTTGCTTTGACAAAACACACTTCATAATACACAGGGGCGATTTTACATCATCCCATATGTATTGAAAGGTTTTGGTATGCCGTTATAATGCCCGCATACCTCCTTTATACATATGGTGGATAGAAAATCGTCACACCTGTTATGAGATAACGACTATATCTTATAGAATGAGATATACCGTTTTTCTCTAAAATTTTAGGATGACACTTACACCATTTATGTGTATGCCTCTTTTATCAGTCCGATTTCCTTCTACCACATTTACTGCTGATGTGATTACTGGCCGGAGTAGCGTGACCCACTCTTATTACGAGGGGATCCCGTTAATTGAATTCTCTCCCCAGTTTAAATCTGATTATAACGGAAGTGATAGTGAATTAATCCAGCGAGGTAGTTGTCGTGTTCTACGACGATTAATCACAGATGCGCCCTTGATCTCGGAGCAAGACTCGAATCAATGCATAAGGAAGCCAGATTTCTTATTTGGTGACTCGGTAAAAGATCCGAAGATTGCTTTCTGCCAGCCTGCGCAATGGTTGCACCAGAGTGGATCATCATTCTTATATCTGCCTTTTATCCCTCGGGATCATTCACTGTTAATGTTCAGGAACCTATCAGTTGGACGAGAGATGTTCTGGAAATTAACCGAAAACCACGAGCACATTCATTGTGGTTTCATTGGAAAGGAAGCAACTCCAGGTTCCAGTGAAAGAGCTCATGTGAGAGGACTTCATCCGGGTGTCTTAGGACAAGACAATATTCCTCAGAACGAAAAGATAGTGCAAGCCAACACTGTGAAGAACCGGTTAGCGGCAGCAGGAAAAAGATTGCCCAGAGAGACTTTCAGGTGTTATGGATGGGTCCATTATTCTGGGAACAAGTGGTGGTGGACCAGGATGACCCAATATGTGTTGAAACGTTTTGGGCGAGAATTAGCAGGATTAGGGTTGGATGTCCCGATTCGTGCCACCATGCATGGCTTGCAGAGCAGTGTAAGTCATTTCCTTTGTTTGTTCGAGATCTACAACCCGGACACCAATACATTCTTTACCAAGAACGGGGAACTTGGACTACCACTGCATGAAATGATGCAAGTGTCTGCTTTGCCTATGGGCGATGTCCCATATCAAGAGTTCTTTCCGACCACCAATCAGCTGATTAAGATGAAAGATAGCTCGACTGCGACCTATGACACTCTATGGGAATTGACCTGTCATTATCATATAGCCATGGCCGAGATGGAGCCCAAAGCCAGAAAGAAGTCTCCTCAAGTCAGTTTAAAACAATTCGCTGATTATCTCTTCAAGAATCTGGATGTCCGTTCGGCAGATGTGTGCGGATTGTCTCCCTTGAGTATGGATGAAATTAACCGTTTGTTAGAGAAAACCAACACGCATTCTTATACTTCGCGCTCAGAAGATGGATTTTTGCACGGCACTAAGTTCCGCTCTTATCTGTGGCAAGCTGGTGTTCCGATTAGCCCTACTGCTCTGCTGGCAGGTTTTCTAGCCTTATGGTTAAAAAGATGTGTAGTTCCTCATCAATCCGCAGATGCGATGCCAATGGAAGTGTTGTATCCGGCCGTCCAGCTGGCTACAGGTCGCAAATTATCTTTGCTTCCCGCTATGGTGGCCGATATTCATAGTGGATTGCGGCAACTAATCTCCGCATTTACCCAGGAGAAAAAGAAACCCCCCCCCAGCCTGTCCGTTCCGAAGCTGGAGCTGCCCTATACTTACTTAATGGCCTGGTTGGTACTTCATCGACCAGATTTAATGGAGGCTCCTGATACGGTAGATCTCAGTGTCCCTCTGTTGCATCCTGATACGGTAGATCTCAGTGTCCCTCTGTTGCAAAATCTCGAGAATTGCAAATGGAGCAAACATCGAGAGCCGGACATAACGAGGCAGTTTAAAATTCACAAATGTTGGGAATTTTTTCCTTGCTTCCCTCAGTTCTCCGGTACTTACAACACTACCTTAGTGGATGCTGAAGACCCAAGGCAGAATCGTACCATTTTGGATGTCGGGTGCTTCAGATGGTTGATGAATATTCGACCTGGATATCTGTTGTTCAGGATAAGGGATGTTTGCCACATCGAACCCTATCTTCCATGTCGATTCGCCCGTCAGTTCGGGTATGATCAGATATACATCGGCAACCCGAATCGTCACCTCAGCTTTCGAGGTGGACTTATCGACGGGGCGAGAGCTTGGTTTTGGAGCATTGCCGGCTGCACCAATGTTGAATTTGATCTCCCCTTAGAGACGCCGCCTCTACGGATGACTTTCCTCTTTTGTAAATGGCTGATAGCCACCAATATTGTCACTCGACGTAGGAGGATATCAGACTCAGAGGAAGAAATAGCTCCACGGCAAGCAACAGAACCGCCTCGCGAAGCTGTGATGTCGCCTCGAGGAAAAGAGGCTGCTGAATCATCAAGGAAAGGAAAGGAACCGGCTCGCTCAGTCGGTAGTGAAGAAGAATTTGACTCTGAGGAGACGGAGACTTCCGAGGAGGCGGGTGAGACTAGCTCAAGTTCTGATGAAAGAACGGGTCTTCCTGATTCTTTCTTTGAAAGAGGACTTGTGTGCCCATCTGTTGCTCCTACTCAATCACAAGCTACTTCGAGAAAACGGGGAGAGAGGGTCGTCATGACCTATCCTAATCGGATGACGGTAGACATTCTCAGTGGGGACGAAGAGGATGAAGAGGATGAAGTGCCTCTTGCTCGTCGACAAAGATCACGACCTTCCACTCAAGCTCAAACCCAAATTCCTCCTCGAACTGAATTACGCACCAAACGTCGTCACGAAGGTCCTGAAGCACATCCACCGAAGAAACAAAAGAAAGCTGCTTCTAAACCGCGCGTTCATCTTTCTGCCGTAGAAGATATCTCTGGTCGTAATGTTTCTTCTGATGAACTAGGTAATTATTTATTTTTATCTCTCTTACATTTTTTTTTAATGCTCGAACTCATTTCATTTCCAATTTCTGTAGAGAGTCAAGAAGAGGGAGAATATCGAGTTGGAGCTGCTTCTCCTGGAGGTATGGAGACTGAGGAGACCAGCTTCGTCCAGCAAATGCAAGATGTTCTGAAAGAAGGACCAGCTGACGTTCCACCCACTCCTGACGTTGATCCATCAGCTGCGGACACAGGTACTGATCTTTCTCCTCTCGGAAGAGAAATCCGAGAAATGAATGAGTCGGACCGTGTGCCTCCTCTAATGACCTGTGCGCTTTCTCTCCTTTTAGTCAAATTAAAAGAAGCAGGTACCAGTAGTGGAGCTCTCGAATCAGCCCCGACCAACGAAGGTAAAATTAATTGTCTTTTTGAGCAAATTCGTCTAAATTTATGTGTCATTTACGACTCAACACATTTTGTAGATGTCACAATGCACGAATCTGTTGGAGGAGAGACCACGCATACAACAGAGGTCGAGGAATTCAATGAACATCACCTCGATTTCAATCTCTCTGAAGGCGACCATGAGTATATCTCCGACTTACTATCGGGGAAAACTCCTGGTGCAGCCACGGAATCCAACGTTGGAGTCGGTCCAACAGAAGCAGGTCCTTCTGAAAGTAAGACCTTTATTCTGTAAACTCCATATATGCATACATATATATTTTAACTTGATTAACCATATAAGTATTTGAATTATAGGACCAGTTGCTGGAACTGATACTACTATCCGGTTGGTGTTGCTGAACCTGCAAATCTCGCATCTGCTGCATAGTCAACTCCATTTCGGTTTTGAACTCAGCTCTAATTTCTTCGCGTTGTTTAGCCAACGCTTCTTGCAGCATTTGAGCTAGTTGATCCGGCGTGATCGCGAATGATTCTCTGGCTCGTCCAACACTGGATGCAGTATCGTCCGATGCAATAGCGGAACAAGTATCCGACAATTCTTCATCTGAAGATAAACCCTCGTGCATTCTCCTGTAATCTCGACGTAAGTTGGCTCTTCTTTGTAACCGCGCCATCCTTTGAGAAAGACCCCGCTCAACTCTCCCTCCCGGAGAGAAATCAGGGTCGTAGTTAACTGACTTTTGCTTTCCTTTATTGGTCATGTTGATAGTGACCTCAGGAAGCTCATCTTGTCGGATTACAGATTTCGTTTTGTTGAAACGTCTTGTTTTGGGTCTTGACGCTTCATTGGACAATCTTTGAAATACGGAGACTCTTGTTGAATTATTCTTAGAGCATCCGCATTCTGTCAACACTGCTTTAATGAGTCTCTCGCAAGCGCAATGAGACTCATTTTCTCTGACAACTCTCTTTCTTGAGTTATCTTTCTGATAGTACAGCTCATCATTATTGTGATTCGAGCAACCTATCTTTCGCTTTTGAACTTTGTTAACATGCACAGGACGACTGGTCGTCGCCTCTGAGCGATCCAAAGTTGAATGTTTAAATCCACCCCCTTGCGGGTGTGGAGTTTTCAGAGGTCCTAAACGAGAGTGAACTGGTATTCTCTCGTTTTGGACTTGTGCAGTTCTGACAGGAGGGTGTTTACGACCCCCTGCATATGAAACCATTAATGGTTTATTTGCCGGACATGGTTGTTCCTTGACTGGGGCTTTGCCTCGATCATCAACTGAAGGACCAAGGCGATCTGCCATTGTTATCTTGAACTTGGACAAATCTGGGCTAACCCAGGGTTCTACTGGTGTTGCAGTAGACGGGCCCGGAACAGATGCTTGTGGTGTCTTTGGCATCCAGACTTTACGATTCTTCGGTGGCCTTTCAGTCACCGCCTCTTTCTTGGTTTCTTGCGCTTGTTGACGAAGAGCGCGAGCGTGGGCAGCCTTCGCCTTACGCCTTTGTATCCGTTCTTTAAGGGTTGAACGGGCCCTTTTGACGAGAGTCCATTCCTCCGTCGTAAGCTTTGCAGAAATATGATTATCTTGCCATTGAGGCAACTGGGTCATTTTCTGTTTTCTCGACTCTAGGTCCGCATAGTAATGGACCCCGTCGGTTTGTTGCATGGCCTTAGCCAGTTGTCGAGCACGGCGCTGACGCTGTCTCTGACGAGCCCTCTTCGTCAGCACCGGCGAGCTATTCATCATCGACTCCTTAAGGGATGTGGAGTCGTTTGGAGCAGGTATGTTGCAGATGGGCTCCTTAGTAGCAATTGAGTAGGAACCTTCACCTGCGGCCTCTTTGGGCATTGCAGACTTGAAAGTTTTCGAAATCTTCCTATATTTGCGAGACGAGGAAGATTTCGCGGATGAGGATGATAAATACTCCTCAAACTTCGCCTGATCGAATTCGTATTCGATCTCTTCATTGATGATGATCTTGATCGGTTGCGACACCGCGGTCTCGGCAGCGAGACCGCTGGCTCCCACTGTGGTCGCTAGCTTGTTTGGTTCAAAAGTCGCTGCTGTGGAATTCATTATAACTTTGTTCGATTACAACAAATTCGAAAGAATAATCTTTTTATAAGACTTTTTCTACACAACAAAACAAAAATTACAACTCTTGAGAAACAAACACGAAAATCGTCTATCAATTCTCGTTTTCGTGGGACTTTGCCTGTGCCGGGAACGCTTTGGTTCGTGGACCGCCGATTCACAGATCGTGAAGAGGGGGCTTATGATTCTAACTTCGTTATCGAAGTAGAAATTGAAACGATATCTTATCGAAGTAAGATAGTCGTTCTTCTTAAAATCAAGTCAAAGCTTAATTTCAAGGCGTTGCAAGAAAAGAATCCAAATCTCTGCTCTCTCTGCTCTGGAATGCTCTAACAAATGCTCGATCCTCGTCAGAAGTGACCCTAGGGGGGTATTTATAGCCTCAAGGGTCAGTAACTGCAAAAACTTAACAATCGAAGAAGTCAGTACGGCGAGACAGTGTTTACTGTCTCGCTGGGCGAGACAGCGTTTGCTGTCTCGACCCGCGAGACAGTAAATTTGCTGTCTCGCTCAGCGAGACAGTAAATGCTGTCTCGGAAAATGGCAGTTTCTCGCTGTAACTGTTCTCTCACGTTTCAAACTCCGTTATTTTGGCAGTTATCCACGTGATTTTCGCCCATGATGTTTCCCACGTCCCTTGGCAGTTAATGGACACGTGTAGGGCAGTTACAAATGTAGTTTTGACTATTTCAACACTGTCTCGCTGGCGAGACAGCAAAGACTGTCTCGCTGGCGAGACAGTTCATACTTGTTTTGATTTTTTCAAAACAGTATGAAATCCTTTCTTGTGAATTTTTGAATGATCTTATCTATGCTTGGGATATCTATTAGCATTTTTTGATGCCTACAACTTGTAATTATATGATTTACAAGTATTAAAAATTATAGAAATTAAAATGATAAAAATAACTTTTTTATTAATAATCAGTCAATCATCTACATTACAAATTTATTTTAGAATTCGTCTCATCATAATAGATGAATACATCCCAACCAGGTTGGCACCTACTTATCTATATCACTATCATTTATAATTTTTTCTAAAATAATTTATCATAAATTTTCAGCTAAGAAATAAAAATTACAAACTGATGAATAATCTATACTCTTTATATTTATCTGCTAGTCCTAACTCTTCAAATTTATCTTCAATACTAGTCATCTGATTGATGCCTTGCGTTCTCTTCTCGTACCACCACCAATCTTGTAGGCATATTATCGCCTGTACGATATACGGATCTAACGATGTCCTATGATCGTCAATCAAACGTTCTGCTATACTGAAGGCGGATTCCGAAGCTATCGTGAAAACCTGCGGTATTAGTAAGTCACGAGCCATGATAGAAAGTATAGGATATGAAACTGTTCCATATACTTTCCACCATTGTAAAATATTAAAACTACTATTTTTACATTTAACTAAAGATTCAGTTAAATATTGATTAGTTTCAGAAACTTTCGTTGATGATCCAAGTCCAGATCCACCAGTTAGCTCAGCTAGCATTGATTCCCTATGAAAACTCATATCTTTGTCCCGACTTGAATTCGTAGAAGCAGAAGCTATAGACTGATGTGTACTTACACCATATCTACCTACACACTCATCATATAATCTTTAAAAATAATTTCTAATAGTATTATGATGAGTTAGAGCAGTAATAGTTTGATCATCATCAGTGTCTATTATCATGTTACCATACAAAGAATTTAACAAATTTCGAAGGCTAATGTCCTTTAAACATGGATCAATAAGTACCCCCAAACCAAAAATAATAGGAATAAACCTAAAATACTTATTAAATTTACTTTCCATTTGAAAAATCATATTTCCAAACTAATTATCCATACGATCATTATTAAATTTTTTTGAATATTTAAAATCTGTAAAGCAGCTTGAATAATAGTTGGATAATAAGAACCAGATAATAACATTGTAGCATCATAAAAAACTTGTAACATCTCTTTTACAATATATATAACTGTCCTTTCACCATCAGTTATTCCATACATACTACCAGAGCTAGAACTAGAAGTATAGAAAGCAATAAAATTATTTATAATTTTTTATACTCTATTGCTACATTTAACATTGCATAGGTAGAATTCCACATATGGTCAACATCTTTTGGAATTAGTTTGGGTTTAAAATTTTTTCTTTTACACAATTGTTTCTATCTTTTAATTCTTTGTTCAGAAGCATTATGAGCATAAACTACTGGCCTAACCTTTTCTATCATGGATTTAATTTCACTAAATGTATTTTGAATAATTAAATTTAAAATATGACACACACACATCTAATATAAAAAATATCACCATGACATGACAATAACAGAGATGTTTTGATATGATCAACAATTATATTATTATTACTTGCATTATCTAGTGAAAGAGAAAATATTTTTTTCTGAAATTTATAAGTTTATAAGAAATTATTAAATTTGCATTATTAATACCACTATATGAATCTTTAAATGCAATAAAAGAAATAACTCTTTTAAACATTTGCCATCATCAATCTAGTGTGCTGAATACATAAATAACCAATTTGTGCTCTAGATGTCCAAATATTAGAAGTTAAAGAAAATTTACACTTTAAACTTTAAAAACAAGAAATTATTTCTGCTTGTTCCTCCTAATAACATTTTAAAATATCACGTTAACAAGTTTGACGAGAAATTTTTTTAAACGCGGGATAAAAACCATTCGTAAATATATCTTCAAATTCATCATCTTCTACTAATATAAAAGAAATGTTTTTAAAAATAATAAACCAGATGACACATTTCCTAGCTCGGACTGCGTCATAGTTCTAACTACCGAGACTACCGGAAGCTGATGATTGGGAGAGTAAAGATTGTCGGATATCACCTTGAGGCATTGCTTGACATTTGTTGTGTTTCTCTAAATGGCGTTTGAGGTGGTTGGTACTGTTCTTATGATGAGCTTGGAAAATATGACTGCACAACGCACATTTGGCCTTCTGAGTGAGAAGTCTACCGTGTTGATCCTTGTCGACTTCTATATTCTCAAAAAAGTTCCACACATCGGATCTTAGCCTTTTAGGAGCTCTTGGTGCATAATCATCGCCACCGGAGTTGTGATAAATAGAGGGGGCCTTTTAGGAGTATTATGGCTCGTTTCAAGATTGGGAGTTGGGATTTGCCCTTCATAATCAGAGGAGGAAGCCATTTGATTGAAAAATTAGATAGCAAATACAAGTATTAGAGAGAAGTAGATGAGTTTTGGATGAGAAAAACAAATAAAAACCTCCTCTATTATAGAGGCAACCCTAGGCAAATGACCAAAATATCCTCAAAATTTAGCCTTTTTTTAACCGTTTTGGGGGTATTTTGGTCAAAAGCCAAAATATGGCCGTTATGGCCGCTTGGATCGGGCCGGGTCGGTCACAAAAATGACCGTTTTGGCCGGGCTGGCCCGGCCGGGCCGCTCCTACCCAGTATGATACCTGGCCGGGCGGGGCATGGTCCAATGCAAGCACCAATGACGCGGCTCGGGCCTTGGGCCCAAATGGACAGCCCTAGATATATATTATTTTTAGTGTAGCGACTAAATCATGTCAACTAATAAAATTAGATGTTGAAAATATGGGCTCTAAATTTTAAAATGGATTTAATTTAAAACAACCAATCATGTTTTATGTTATGAAAAAATTTACAACTATCCACCAGGAAAATTAGAACAACCAATCGATTTTTTTCCATTCCTTTTTTTCTTTTTTAATGAACACAGTCCAAACCCGATCCTTCATTTTCCATATACCGCTGAGTATGCTTGAATGGCATAAACATAAATTGTATCTGTAGACAAACATGGAACTATTAATCGTGTCAAGCTCGATCGATAGCATGCGTATATTCAAATATTCAATTAACTTCATTAAACCATGTGAGTTCAGTTGTTATCAAATAATCGATTCTCCTAGTTTACTATCCCCATCATTTCTTTATTTGTTTCATATATTTTGTTCAATTACATCCATTTTTAGCCTAAACATGCATATCACTAGAGGATACTAAAATTTTTTAATTGCAGATGTATTCCTATAGTATCATTTTTTTAACCTTACTATCGTTCTAGTTTTATTCTTCCAAATAGATAACCAGGTAAGTTTTTTTTTCAAATTTGGATCCTCTCCACTATGAAAAAAGTATTGGAGAGACCTTTGCAATATCATAACCATTAATTTGTTTAGCGATGATTGTGCTTTATTTCATATCTAACACTCATCATGCCCCCATATGAATTGCACTAGTTTCCTAATTTATACTCAAAGGTGAAAAAAAGCGCTGGGGGGTCTATTTGCTAAAATAATAAATAGAGGGATGGTAAGTTAAAAACATAATAAAGCACACGAAAATAGAATATGCTAGGAGTGAAGTTGGTGGTTTTGTGATACTGAACATAATCATACATTCAGTCCTTCACTCACTTTACAATCAAGTTATATTAATTATAGAGAGATACTGCTTGTAGCAATGTAGCGTGATTGTATACGTCAGATGTTTGCATCGTATTGCCTGATCTATTTTTCGTATTTGTGGTATAATAAACCTTCATGTTTTACAAGTTCTAAAAACTTGAATAATTATCAGAAAAATAATTTTGAACACAAATGTTCTATTAATATACAGTGCCCCATAAATATGATCTAACACCTCATTAAGTAACTTAGAGCGCAGGCCTCTGCATTTGAATAGTGTTTGTTCTTTAATAATCTCGTTCGTGCCACAGTGTATTCCCGTTTTTGTGTACTAAAAAAAAATATATTTTGGAACTTCGGAGCATTCGAACTCTACTAAAGATTTTCGTGCTTTTATTATTTTAAGTTGCTCTTTTTTCTTCTTGCGACCGCTCCGCACGTTGCACTACCGCACCACAAAGCGAACGCGTATTGCGGAAGAAATGCAAGAGCCATGAATCGAGTGACGATTTCACGCAATCTGTTCATTGGGTTCTCCCCAAGATTTACCAATACGCAAAAGAAAAAATTCCCCCCGTGAATTAGTCCCCCACACCTTTCATATTGTGATGTAGCCCCCCCAATCTTGACATTTTGAAATTAGTCACCCAAATGTTTAAATGTTTTGAAATTTAGTCCCCGATATCCTTTATAATTTGGAATTAGTTCCCCTAATCTTTTAGATGTTTTGAAGTTGGTCCTTCTAACTAAAAGCTGGTTGGAAGATTTGGGATTTGGGGGGCCTATTATCAAAATGTCTAATAGATTTGGTTGACTAATTTTAAAATATGAAAATTTTGGAGATTGATTTCAAAATATCAAATTTGGACTAAGTTTAAATCATAAAGAAATGGGGGACTAATAAGCAAAAAACCAAAAATAAGGGGAAAGAAAAGACAATGACGAAGACCCACGAAAAAGCCAGAACAAAATCAAGGGCTACGCTTCCTTGGCCAAAGAGGAACAACAATTTACCTTTGCCTTAGCTTGAATTTGTTATATACGTTCAACTCTTATAACCTTCTCAGGATAAAAAAGGAGCGTTTTGGTCGCTGGCGTTTAATGGAACTTCATTATAAATGAATGAATGGGAACCACCGCATAGTTTAAGGTGAAATTTCAGTCTTTAACTCTTTTATGAAGAGAAGAGCAACTCTTCTGCTCTGACACCCCCCCCCCCCCCCCCCACACACACACCGCATAGTTTAAGGTGAAATTTCAGTCTTGAACTCTTTTTAGAGGAGAAGAGCAACTGCT